CCTAGGCACAAATCCGATATTTGGTGCAAAAATGTCGCCAACTAATGTCGAAGTTAGAGCATACTATGAGCAGACGACAGCTGATATATAGATAAATCGTGCAGGATCTAAATATGCAGAAGAGTTTTTCTTAGCCTGTTTACGCTAGTGAGAAACAGTTTATCCGCTATTTTTGGCATAAGGAGAAAGACAACATGCTCTAGAACGAAAGAGCAAGCTCACTGCACACGGGAACGCAGGCCGTCTCGTTGTTTTAATCAGATATCAACTACTATGCAATGCCTGTCTGCAGAACGAATCCCCATTAAGATTAAAGGCTTCCTTTCTTGCCTAAAATCGACGATTTGCGTTTATGCTAGTTCTCTGCACCTTCTAAAAAACAGGGGAACCTCTTAATGACCTTCAATAGAGTTTAGATCTAAAGCGCTTGAAAATTCATTAGAACGTCTCAAACAACATTCTTGGTACACCAGGATTTTTTTCTATGTAAAAATTTACGGGAGTTTCAAGTAAGCAGGTATCAACTCTTACTTAAGTTGTCCGGGTAAGCTCGCGCGACTATTTGTCCTGAAACATTTTTACGCTACTTGGACGTTTTAAGCCTTTGGGGCTCCTAGCTTGCTATTAGCTTAAAATTTAGTTCCACTAGAATGTACTATACATATCGTATATGAGTGACGCCTTAGCGAATAACAGGGAATATTGTCAAAATTACGGGTGAATAGTTTATCCCGTAATAAAGCGAGAATAACCGTGGATGATGCTTATACTAAATATACCTAACCGCTAGGAATGACACTTCTAGCAAATACAAAAAGTGGCGCTGAAATGTCGGTTTTTACAGTCCTAGAAGCGATTAAAAGAAAACGTAGTTGTGCTGCCTTGCATATCGCATTAATGGGTAACATTTTTGTTTGCTTACCATAAGGACACGTTGTGGCCTTGGTTCGACTCCGAGCATAGACACACTTCGTTTAGTGTTGTGTCCTAGCCATCTGATAGAATGCCCAAACACGATATCGGACGTAGAACTAGAAACACAAAGAGGCAGCGTTAGGGCTGGCACAACACCAGCAATAAAAACAACGACAATAGGCCGAGCATCGCGACGTTGGTTCTGATGGCCGCGACATGAGATTGCCTGACAAAGGCACGCAGGGCAAAAAAGGTATTTAACTGTCGTTTTTAGCGTGTCTCGGCTTTACATGTTGACTATGTAATTTTCTCTATTTCTGTATGGCCTTACGATCTCCTAGAAAGTTTTCGATACAATGCCGGACAACGGTTTCCAATAAATAACAAGTGGTCTATGATATCTCACATTTCATATTCAAGATTGACTAACCTCAGTTATTTGAGTATCTAAGAAAACGCTCAGCTGTCACAGTCAGCTTTACCTACCTCGCATGACAACAGGTAGTAACAGGTAAAACTGAAAATTTCTCGATAACTTCACGAATCATATTATTGAAGAAGAGCTCCGTACGCCTTATACTTCGAAAGTTAGTGCTCTCAATTTGCCTTAGATTCGCGGGGCCGTAAACAATTTCCCAACCTGGTTATCGGCGTGGATAGTGGTGCTTTTAAGTTTCGTCTACGATTCTAGCAAGGTAATAGCTCTCGTAAAATACATATTATATTTACTTAAAAAGTTCAGTCCGGGCAATGCGGTTGTGGAGGATAGATCATCGATATGATCAAAAATCTGACTCGAGAGGGCATTCAGTTTCTGCAGAAGATCACCGTGGAAGCATTATAGATAAAATAAGAAGAATTTCTAGTGTTTCCAGGTAAGACAGCGGTAATAGAGCCAAATCATATTATCTACTACGTGAATGTGGGAAGTGCTTATGTAAGCGCACCTATGCAAACTTAAGGTGAATCCGAGAAAATAGACATATTTCTATATCACCCAGTTTTTCTCTTTGAACAAATTTTAAAGCAACTTGGCAGACCTCTGACCGGCTTCCCTCAGCTAAAGGTTCACCCATCAAGCCTATCACAATGACTTTGTTTTTGTATGAAGGATAAATAACAGAACGACATAGTCCTCTTTGTGTTAGAACTGTTAATGGACTTCAATGGCATTTTCGGGTTGAACTTAGCAGATCTCGCCTTTGTCATTTCTAGGATCCCGGAGTTTTTGTGCAACCTATTCGCGGTAACATTTCGCTGATGTATACAATATATGGTCACGTTTAGAGATGTGTTGTGGTAACTGAGTTGGCAACTTTTATTTCGCAAAGTTTAGTCATTTGGAACTTTAATCGTCCCTGCATTCTGAATTTGGGAAAAGTGCAAGCAAAGGGAGCTCTAGCAGTGATTAAGTTGAACTGCTGGAGGAGAACCGAGCGTCCTTGGAGGCGCCGCCGCACTCGAAGTGAGCTATGAATTTGTTTTATAGCACACTGAGTACAAAACACGATCGTTTGCCTATGTAACCCTGACAATATGATTCAAGTTAACAAAATAAAAAACAATACAGGAAACTTAAGATGCAATTGCTTAGCTCTCCCAATAGTTACGGCAAATTTACAAAGAACTTCTACAACATAATGTTACGAATTATTTAAAAGTGGCATTCTGTTATCCCTATGCTGTATAATGCTTCGAGTGTCTAGCCTGAATTCTCTAACGGTCTCAGTTGAACGCTCCGATTGTATTTCACTGCGTGCATAGTACCTTGCGTGCTAGCCAGTCTTACGACGATAACAGCCTCGGCACACAAAGAGTCGAAACGGTTTCGTATAAAAATGGTCGTGCAATTAAAGTTGGCTTTTAGGAAAGAACACGTCGTAAAACAACGCGAACTTTTATTCAGCTGTAACCTGGACAGTTTCCTAGAGGCTGAAATAATCAATACAGATAAATAGTTTCTTATTTCAAAAAATCTATTATTTACGTTTATAATTTTTCAAAGAAACTTCTACAAATCTAGGAACATCGAGCCTGCAGATCCACGTTTACGTTATGTCATAGGGAGTAGAAAAGCATTGCCAAAGGTCCATTGAGGTTTCGGTTTGAAATATTGTTTCTAGTAGAGAAAATTATTTCCTATGTGCACTAATCAGATATACCTAACAGATGTGCCCTTGAGTAGACTGTCTTCCAAACAATGTCCGGAACTAATTTGCAATACCTAGACCAACGTGAGATAAACCACTCCCACGCTATATATATGTGTAACATTGATATACCAGCATTTAAGAAACCGACTAAAACGTTGTGCAACATCCTGTATACATCCAATATTGAACTTACAGGGTGTACGTACAATTGCAAATATATCTTGAGAGTTTAATGTATTCTCTCGCAGAATTTATTACTGTCTATTTTCTTTTAAAGGGCGTTTGAGTAGTACTGCCAGACACTATTAGAACGAGGCCTAATTTAAGTGATCCGGTAAAAGGGGGCTCAACCCTGGCGGTTCCATCAAGACCACTATCTACCACTAGCTCTTAGTTCCTCCTTTGAGCGTTTCCCCGAACCTCCTGAGAATCTCTTCTACCTTTTCTAATGGTCCTATGGATTAAAGGGACGAATGTTACGTGTTACTAGATTCGGGGATTATTACTGTTCGGTATTTTCTATTTATTATTTCAACATAATGTCGTTCTCACGTACGATTGAAATGGTATGATTTGTGGTTACCGTTTTTTTAGATTATGTATACGGTTTCTGTTCCTGTTTTACCTTATTAGAAAACCCTCATCGCGGGGAGCGAAATCTATATTGGTATTAGTCGCGTACGCGTACGCCATTTCGTGTGACGACCGAAGTTATGACAAGTTAGAGAAAATTGCCTCGAGGGAACTGATCATTGTCTATAGAAGAACAATAGTTATACATGTATAGATAATAGTATTCTCCATCATTGTTTATAACCTCGAAAAAGCCAGGCTATCACGATATTCTGCTTGATACAAGCTGAGCTGTTATTTTGCCATTGGAGAAAATGGAGATTGGTCCATTTTCTTTGTAGCATCACCAGCAGAAATCGAAAGGCTGAATCCGTGAGAGCAAAGTCTTTATACAGTACTCCAATGAAGTTATTTCAAAATACTTGAACATTTTACATAAAAATACAGCTAAGCTTTTCGAAAAGTAAGCGTTGAGGGTAGCTATTAGTTCCCATTATTTGTACATATATATATATATATATCGGAACTATAGCTCGGCTACTGATGGGCAAAAAATTTGTCGAAGGATTGAGCTGTGCAATACAAAAACCATCGTAGACACGAAGGTCACAATAGAGATTTGGATGAAATGCTTACTGCATCTTTAAAAAAAAAAAGCCGAACAAGCTTCTAGTGCTCTAGCGCCTAAGATTGACGGTCTGTTGACTGCGGTCAGAGTATTTCGCTGCCATTGCCCCACTCCTGGCTTCGAATAATGTAAAGCATCTAGCTTTAGATTATTCTATATATGAGGGGCGGTAAATGGCAAAAAACATACTTTAGAGCTAAATAATAACGGGTTGTTAACAATCTTTGTGAGCCATCACGCGCATGACGTAACGAAAAAAAACTAGATTGCATTGATCGAGACCTGTTGTATTGAGGTACTGAAATACAATTTCACGTATCGCTTTCGGTAATTGATCCTTATGGTCACAGTACGATCGGTTGTTTCTGAATATTGGTATAGGATCTTCATCAATGATGATATAGAAATCATAGACGATTGTCTGCGAAGAAGCGCAAGACGTTCGTGTGTCGAAAGTGTGCATGTATATTTGGGCGTGAAATAATAACATTTGCACATTATCAGCTGCACTAACCAATTGAACTCAGTGGTGCTTCATGATGAGGGGCTTTACATGGTACACAGTGTGATAAGATGATAGTGTTCTTGACTCTTAAAATATGTTTAGAATCTTGCCCGACCCGAAACGCAGATGTTTAAATGATGTGCGCCGGATTATACGCTACTAGGCCAATATATGAGTCGAATATATCTGATTATACTATACTTTTATGTGCACGTTTTTTGTACAGGTACACCAAAGGAGAAACTGCTATGGGCTTTTAACCTGTACGACATTAACGGTGACGGACGCATTACGAGAGACGAATTGATTGATATTATTTGCTCGGTTTACTCCCTCAGTGCTGATCGGGAAAGGACAGATGGAGCAGATGGGGACGATAGACATTCGAAGTACAATGAGGCGCAACTATCACATGCCGACCGGGTGTTTCAGGTATTATAACGCAACAAACATGACATGGCCCGATTGCACGCTGTACATCTGGTCATCTGTCACATTTTTTTGGCAATTTCTGAAAATTTTTGTTAAAAAACGATGCGGGGTTTCCTAAGGCTAACAAGAAATCGTCCTAGATACGTAATGCATTTAAGGCATAGTATCATCATATACCCTTTTCTGTCGCACGTTTTGTAAACACAAGACAATGACAGAAATGCTAGATATGTCAAGGTTCGCAAATTACATCAACGTAAAGACTCGACAAGAGGCGACTCTGCAGGTAGATGGTTCGAGACAAGGGTTCAAGATACTTCCTTATGTGACCAAAGTATAAGTTGTGCAATGCAACGTCAGTCCTCTTGAATAGGCAACAGAAAAAAACGGATATTTTTATTGTAACTTATATGAGAAGTCCATGCTTTCTTAACACCTTCGATTACTCCTACTGTATTATTACGTATTCTCCACTATTGGTAAAGCCTTACTTCTACTAAAAGATTTAGCTGATGTAGGTCTTGCTGGACTTATCTAGAGTTTTTCCAGCAGACCTATAAAACCGGATATATACAACATATACTATGCTAATCTTGGCCAACGTCGAAAATTAGCGATGTTCATAATTTTCAGAGAGATGCATCTTAGCGACCCACACCACGCCGCCCGGGCCTTGCTTGGCATAACTTAATGTGCCGTAAAGTCTCTTGCTACAACGAGATCTCTTCTTAAGAACATGTTTATATGTATATTTTACCCAAACGAAGGATTCTCAGAAAGAAGATTTTTCAGGTTCTGTAATAGACCAACTAATATTCTCTTAACGCCTTTGAGTAAAATAAACGATGCCGCAATGTGGTTTAGGTGGTTAGATTAGCAGTTAGTCTAGTGTTGGTTTTGCATTGGTAGTCGCTTTAAAAAACAAATTTTGTCATGCTGCTGTCTCATCCTTTCACGCTCACAACTGATATAAAAAATAAGTATCAAAAAATGGAAAGAGTCAATAAAAATTTGCTCGTTTTCGTTCGTAAGTGCTTATCCGGTGATCCTTTTTCTATGGCACCAACAACTATATCAAAAAGCCGGAATTTAAGGCTCACTATAAAAATATATTCAAGTATGTTGTAGGGTCTTCAAAAATCCATGGTAAACTTTAGGAAGAGTTAAGCATAACAAGTTCCTCAAGTTATGAGGTCAAGGCACTGCGACGAGCAGACAAATGTATTTAATATGTTCACCAACTTATAACTTTTATTGAAGCCTTAGGCTATACCGGCTCGCTTCTTGGAGGATATGTTCAGCTCCGTGACTCCTGTGTATCTCCTAATAGTGTCTCATCTATATAGTGTGCAGAATAAGACTGTTGGTCAACAGAACGCTTAGTATGGGGGGTGTCTTTTCCGCGTAAGGTGGGAAAAGGTTGGAAAACGACGGCATAAGGAGTAGTACTATAAAGCCTCGAAAAAAACTGGCTACTTACGAGGATAGATCCCTGTTGTCGCTTGAGCGCTTCAAAATTTCTTGTTGCCCAAGATCCGCGCAAGTGGCATAAATGATACGGCCAGAAGAACGACAAGCGCTGAACGAAGTTAATTTCCATAGTCTTTGCGGCCATATAATATTTTCAAAGAAAAATGTATTTGATACGATGGCTGGAGGCCGATATTGATTGCAACCAACGTGCGATGGTTGGTTTTCGTTTTACCGACCCAGTTTACTCTGAGCAACGTTCTTAAATCGTCGAATTTGCTGCACCGTAATGCGCAATTTTTAAAAAATCATATTTTTTGTATTTTCACATCAGCATCGTCTTCTACATTTTGTAAATTTTTCAGAAGCTCGACTTGAACAACGACGGCGTGGTAACCCTAGACGAGTTCGTCACGACATACCTAAACGACGAAGACGCCATCCAGTCGCTTTCTTTTCTTCATCTTTAAATATTCAATTGATATTTATATAACATTAGGCGATCTTCTATTCGAAACCTGAGTTTTCTCTATACGAAAGTGTATTTCTTTGCCAGACAGCTGGGTTTGAGTTACGGTTAGTTGATCGCCAGGGTATTTCAATGCGTTTTATCATTCAGTCAAAAATCTAATAAAGGATAAATATTTATATAAAGAAACTACCTGGTAACTGTCACCAGATCAAAATGATTTTTTGTAGCCTAGCTATCGAATTCATCTAGCTAAGACGTTTAACGTGATTAACTGTTGCTTTTTACGTATTATCATATTACGTAATAATCCGTTCCGAACGAGAGGCGTACACACTCTACGCGAAACATTCTGACAAACAAACGAAACATTCTTGGAAAACGCCTGCTTACGACCTGCTCTTACTAAAGTACCCGAAAATATGTAAGGGGTAGATGCGTGGATGTATTTTCTTAATGTATATGGCTTAAGGCTGACCCTCAACTATCCTCTTATATAAACGAGCCTCCGAGATCACCTTTCGCTGCTGCTTCAAAGAGTGCCAAAAGGCTTGTTTTGGACATGTGTAAAATTTCTCCAATAGGCCTATAAGGGGGCAGAGTCATTACGTAGCCAGCTCTTATAGATATCTTATTTATATTATAGATATTTTTTCACTTATGTTTCCTCCTTTTGGTGCTGTTCTTCATCGTTACTATTCTAATGTACCCAAAAAATGCATATTATTGTCCAGACAACAGGGTCGTCCCTAATACAGACCAACTGTACGCTAATAGCACACGTACTGTTTACGTAGAAGTCCACTCACAGCCGAGTGAGAAACCCCGATTGAAAAGACGGTGGAGTCCGTCACTTAGTTATAATAAGCTCTCTGATCTCTATCGTTGTTGCTTACAAGCTATTTGTTACGTTGTTGTAGACTACAACGTTTACTGTTAAGGCAATTCAAAATAAGTTCATGTTATAACTTTGAGTATAAAGTCACATCTCTTTCTTTTTACCACAATCTTTTACCACGTCACTGATCTTCGTATTGCAACTGTTACACTCCACTCTGTGCAGCTATCGTCCAAGATAACTATTTTCTGCTAAAAATATGTTCGGTGTAGAGAAAGACTTTTCGATCGAAAATGAATGACAGAATGATGATTCAATGGAAAATCGATGAAAACGGAACTCACACTCGTAGAGCTTGAATTTTAAACACTCATAAAAGCCCATCAAACAGCGTTACAGAAAAAAAAAATAAAAAAAAGAAAACGGTTCGTTCAAGTAAATGAAAACGGTCAAGGAAACCGAGGAAGATGTTATACCAGGTAACACCATTAGGCTAAATGTGCGTCATCTGCGTATATGGCACGTGTTGACGGTTAAGCGTTCACTCCTAATGGGCGCTTGGTTGTAGTCAGGGATCATTGGAAGAAGATAATAGGATAGCAGAAAATCGCGCATCCACTAATCGTTAATCAAGAACAACGCTTAGTCGTCTAATACGTTGGTGAGGCAGACCCTTTGTAGTTTAGTAGACTGGTTTGCGTATTTAAAGCGCGAGCGCAAAAACGCAAAGAAAAAATGTAAAAAACACATTTGTAGGTCAGTGTAGGGAAGCAGCTAGTCGCGAACGATGTATACGTTGTCGCTGCTGGTGCCTGCCTCGCAGTGGTCATCGCTATTAGGAAGTGGCTGAAGCTGAGGTGAGTGCGGAGTGTTCAATACTGGTAAACCAAGAAAACGTCAAGATGTGTTAAAATATATAGCCTTCGAAAACATGTAGAAGAAAGAGCAGCACAAGGCTGCGCAGAGGATCAGTGGCGGCAAGACACTCGCCTATCATCTCGTTGGTTGTAACGCCGATTATCTCTACCCTTTTGTCGCGGCGTCTCATATCTTCCTCTTTAAAGTAATTCTGCTATCGAAAAAGGGAGACTCGATAGGAGCGATAGGGCGCGTCACAAGGACACGTGGGCTACAAAAGAATACAGGCGGACACACAGACACGTACATCTAGCCAGCAAAGCCAAGCGTCCCTCAGGAGCTGACTGTCAAGGGAAACCTTTGAAAGAGATCTATCGCGGGGCCAAACGACGATGAGACCTTGTGCACTAATCCTGATGTCCTACTACTCATCGCATGCCTTGGCCGTCCATGCCTCTTGGAAACGAGAACAAGAACGTGATGATGATGATGATGATGATGAAGCAAAAGAAGAAGATGAAAAAGGCGAGAAGGAAAGAGGCCTCGACCGATAAGGACAATGTCGTCAATATCTACAATATCAGGAAAAATAGGACAACGTCGCGCGAAACTGACCGGCCGATCAGTGGCCGGTGACCGTTATAGAGCCAAATCAGTAGCATCATACAGGCTTAGAGACTGGAGAGCGCTATGAACAGACCTGAAACTGCGTCTTTCAACAGACGCCTACGCGGAACGAAAATACTGCAACGTATATAATTAGGCAAATGGCTATTATATTGAATTTTATTACCTTATTGTCATACTGAATTAGAGTTGTTGATTTGTGATAACTACTAAGTGTCATCCCATGTGTGTCAAATACATTTATTTGGTGGGCGACCAAATTTCGACCCCACCTATATTAAGAAGATAGGTTATATGGAGAAATTTATTTCACATTCTACGATAACCTTCGTTTTCAACAAAATAGTTATTACAATTTCAGCAATAGCTCACTGATGGCGCATCACGAAGCATTTTTCATAATAATTTTAGAATTATGTAAAAGTCTAAGTTCAGAGGTTATCGTGCAATTTCTGAGAAGTTTGTTTGCCGCCAATTGAAACTTTGCTACTAAAGGTATGTTCAACATAAGTTATGTCGCCTAAGCAACAAAGTGACAAACGCGATTTCGACGAAAACTTCATACTACACATGCTAAACGATTGTTGCATGAGGCGTGGTGTTAGGCGGAAAACGTACACAGTACTCGCCATTATCAAATCAACTGACCACAACTGGCAGCGATAGACCTTGCGCTTAAAACTCGAACTCGTAAAAATTGCTTTTTTTTTTTTTATTCACCAAAATTATCAAAATTGTACGTGTTATTGGCGAAGCTGGAAGCGAAAGGCGGTACGACACAAGCGATTTATATAAAACTGCATTACTTTTAAGTTATGGTAAAACTTATTTCTTCAGCTTCTGTGAAAGTGAAGTCATATATATATGAAAAGTCCAAGTAAACAACTTCGTACGGTCAGAAGCACCCATAATGAATGGTACATCTAAAATAATGGACGCCTACAGTAAATAGTTAATAAAATCGAACGATCTGAAAGCTAACTGCAGAACACAAAAACGGAACAGATCATAGAGACGTCGTCTGCCTGCTTTTAAACTATTCGTATAAGTTAAATACATACAATTTAATAGAGACATTTTCGTCAACCGTAAAAACTTGCGCCTTGACGATAAGGTTACACAATCACGTATTGGGGCAACTACCAGTTACTGAACTTAGTGTTGTTGGCTGATGGTTTTTTTTGCTGATTTTTATTATTATTATTATTAACTATGTTCGATGATAGAATTACGAAGAGCTATGTGGCGATTTTCTTCAATCGAACTACCTCACCCACCTTGTATGTGTTTAATAAAAACGTATAGTATTCAACTCATGTGCCAGGTATGTACTTCGGATATATCAAATGCCTTGTGTATAGATCTACCGACACAATTCAGTGTTCTTGTCTACTTTACGATGAAGGAAAAGGCCAATTGACGTGTCTGTCTACTCCAAGAAAATGAATTTTGACAATTGTTAAAAAAACAATTTGAGGAACATATGCAAAAACAAAAAAAAGCTACAGGAACTAATTACGGTCGTGTACTAAGCGAACAGGTGAAACTTAGGGACTATATAGCGATCGCATAGCTGATCCTTGAATGACCTTGAAGTTTGTGCGGATACGAAAGGCCTCTCCTACGATCCCCAGTTCTCGGCCTGTTTTTGTGCGATCGTGATTACGACTAGTTTCAGTTGCCAAGGAAATAAGCGCAGGTTGCTCGAACACACCGAAGATAATGGCATTAAAGCGAGAACGACAGAGGACAGCCATGTAGAAGTTATCGAATGGCTGAATGAGGCGAAGATGGCAGTTGTGAAACAGACAAGCACGTACGTCATTTTCACCAGCAGAAAAAGCGAAATCAATGGTAGAAACAAGAAGCAAGCATCAAACGCGTTGAGGATCGCACAGAACCGAATTCACATAACATACAAGTACACGCGAACTAACGAAAGGACGCATAATGGCGAAACAGGCAAACAAGACAATGAAAAAGCTCTATTCTAAAACGGCGTCGTGAGGCGAGCCAGAACTTCGCGAAGACAAAACGATGTCCTTATAACCTCGGCGTTAATAAAAGGCAAATAGTTCATTCTTGAGAAGCTTTATTTGTTTATGAAGTTGTTTGCGCCGTCAATGTGCCAGGCGCACTTGTAAACAACTGATGCCATGCGTGAATGTACCACAGAGCAAACTGAAATTTCGTGGTTCATAATACCTAGTACATCAATTGAAAAATTGACTTTATTAACGTCAAACACTCGGTCCAGTTTATGTGGGGAATCTGTAACTAAAAAACCGTGTTGGCCTGACACACAATACACACAAAATATGATTGTTAGGTTAATCAGAATAAGGGACGGGTGAAGTTCATATTTGGTTATTAAGGCAATGATTATACGAACAGGCTATAACAATAGGTAAGCTGCCTTCTATATATTATACAATATACTGTTCTTTCATCTATTAGAATTAAATTTCATCGGAATATCATTACATTCGGATCAACTTCTTATCAGCAAAAAACATCAGTGTCCTATGGCCTTTCTGACGATCTGTTATCAAGTCAAAACTCAGAAAACAACTTATAGCATATGTATGCTACAAGTTAGAATGTTGTTTTATATATACACACACTAATGAGACAATAGCCTTTTATCTGTATCTTATCATTTATCACTTGGAAGCGAACAAACCCTGACGGCAAACTTACTTCGTACGGCACCATACACAAGCGAACGCTACAGCGACAAAGTCTTATCTGTGTGTGCCTATCTTAAACCTTCATATTATACCCAAACAATATGGCTAGATTAATTTCATTATTTACATCTTAAGCGCTGACTTTTGTCTGTGCTATTCTTTGAAGTTTAACTTGCTCTCTTAATGACTCCGTGCATATAGGATCCAGTTCTCGTGAACTTAAAGCGGGGACCACGTATACGGGAAAAAATACACAGCACGCGACGGGAAAATTATCTGTTGCCTTCGGTTCGTCGCGTTCTGATTTTCCGCTGATTCCAGGTTGCCCACAACATCTTTTACGGACGCTGTGGAGAACCCGACTCAGACATACTTGCCGTCTGCAGAAGCTGCAACTGAACTAGTACTGAACGTTTTTCGTGGGGATAAGGGCGCGACAGTGGCGCCGCCGTCCTTGCACATGACCGCGTACAATGTTCGAAAGCAGGACTCGGCATTTTAACGAGTAATAGAGGAGTAAGAAAGCACTTTTCTATAGTACCATCGGACGCTAGAGTCCATTGCACATATAAACGTTGAAATAGTAACAAAAAAAATTACCTTGGCAGATTTCACTTCAGGTAATATGTGACCTGGTAACAAGTACTGCTTTGACAGAAAAAGTGGACAAATGTAGCAGGCGAACAGAGTACCATCGCAGCTTAACCGAGATCTGTACCTCCTATTGCAAATTCGTTGGGCAAAACTAGCCCGAAGCAATAAATACTAAAGGAATCATTAACTAATTAAACTGGATTTTTCAACTTGAAAACTAGAATTTCTTTTCATTGTGACCGAAGACATAAGATTATTAACCGAAGATTTTACCCTTTCATTTGATGCCGTTTAAGTGCCAACAGGGCTAAGTATTGAAATAAGCTCTGCAGTGAGATAGCGGAATATTTTTTTCTTTTTTTTTTTTTTTTTTTTTCAAAGAATTCGGAAGATAGTTAACTTTTTAGGTTAGTTATTGGTTGACGTCGTAACCGAGTCGATCCCTATAACTATGAATCATAATATACGCCTGATATTTCGGAAAATTTTTCTAAGATATCGAGCAAATGGATACTCAATGAAAAAGCAGGCCTTTTACAATACACGTTTCTTTACTTTTTTAAAACTGAGGCAGTATTCCCCGCACAATCACATGTTTGTCGAGGTGTTATCTGCCAGGTCATCTTTTCAATACATTTCCATTTTCTAGCGGTCAAATAGGTGTCGGCATTGAACGATTCCCATTAGGAAGAGTGCTTCAGTCATTGTGCTCTATCCCGTCAAGGACTCACCTCCAGTTCTGCAATATCCTGTACGCGTACATCCGAGCTTTTCGAAGCCAGCTAGATAGATATTTCGAAATTGTTTTCAACAAAAGCTTCTACAAGCGGTTATTTCTCTCAGCGTTGGTACTTGTCTAGCTCTTCTCGCCGTCGTCATTGTCGTCGGCGGCCAGGCAAAGGAAACTCTTTTAAGGAAGCTTTGTCATTTCTTCTCTATGCACCGCACGTAGCTTTATCTATGTGCCATAGCTCTCTACCTCTCTTCCATCAGTACACAAGCTTTGTTGCCTTTGATTGGAGCCGAAACGACGTGACCTCCTCAAGGTAAGGGTGACATAGCTAGGGCAAGGTACGAGGATTAAAAACAATAGATGGATAAGGAAGAGGTAATGTGGATTATTACGAGGTTCCATTGTCGATATCTTCTGTTCACGTCGTACTTTGCCATATCGGTTCTGTCGACAGTTGGAAACTGTAAAATTATCTTTAATTATAACGTTCAAAACAACTAGGTACATTTTGAATATTGGTAGTAATTAATGTCTGGCGGGTTCGACTTTTCATTAAACAAAGGTCACGCCTAAGATTGAAAAAGTCGCAAAATTAAAAATTCTGAAACAAAACCTCTAATACATTATACATAATCAATACGTAATAAGCTCGGTTTTAATATGTTCAATGTATATGTTTAAAAGCCGCCTCTGTGTTAATTTCTCATACTACTTTTTGTCTGATATAGGTTAATAACATTAGGCTTCTCCAAAAACATTAATATTTAGACATTGTTACTTTTTCACTCCTTATCAATGACTTGGAGCCTTGCCTATCACTGTACGTTGCCTGTATGCTACCTTTTTTTTAGTCCTATGGCGACCGACTGTGACTGGCCGAACCATTTTTATCATTAATTTATCACTGTGGTCTAAGAAGAGCTCCGTTGGTTTGCATTTGATGGCTCCGTAGGTGCAGATACCTGCGACGAAAGTCGTCGAGAAGAAAGCAGTTCTGTCGTTTGCGTTGCGCGGACGAATGTGTTGCATTTAGGCCTTCGGCCTATGGGCTCAGCCTAGAACGAGTGGTTAATGTCATGTTTTTTCATCCCCCTGAACCATGCCAACTTAATTCTGTCCTTGTGTAAACTCGCATATATGAGCGATACAGCTCTTTTTAGCACAGACTCTGTATGTTTGGCCGATAGCTGGGCGTTCTCTTTGTAGGTGCAAACTTCGATGCTTTCGGCACGTCCTGGTTGAGGAGTGTCTGCCGATATCTTTCGTATCACGTCTTTTTGTTTAGGTCCTTACAGCATCTTCCGCACTTCGTATGCCTCGTCCGAGTGTTCGTTGTTCCATAATGTTCTCTGTCGACCTATCGTCACGACCTACAGGGCTCGCTTATTATTTTTGTACGTTTTTAGGATTCGCAGTGCTACTTTGACTGGCTGACGTTTTGCGATCTTTTCTTGGAATAACCATTCCCTATGTCATAACAAAGACCATACAACTTAAATCTTAACATCTCCCTCCAACAGACTCGTGTGCACAGCATTCATCTCTGCTGACTTACGGGTTCTCTTGCATAGCTTTCTCGAAGACGTATCTTTTAACGTTGGCACAACGTATCCGGGCGCCTATTCATATATATAGTTACTTTTCCGATAACGACAATAAGACGGTTAAGTGACGACCCATAATCACTTGATCTATTATGTATCCGTCGTCTCGTTTCCGGCCGTCTGAAGACGGGCAGTCTTCGTACTAATTACACGACGAAATAGTACGCCCTTTGGCCAGACACAGGACACAGCTCAGTATTTTCAGCAGTTCTTTCATTCGATATTTGTTGATTTTAAAAGCGAGCTCTAACCCCCGAATCGAGGACCATCGACTTACCACTTTTTAAACAGATATTATTAGGACATCCACTAGTATATCTTGCGGCCAACACGCCTAAAATCAAAAATAACCTCCGTCGAACTGCCAGAAAGCGGGAGATACATTGCACATGTAAAGGCACATAAACAACGAGAAAAATTTCAAATTTAAAAAGTCAATATTTCACTGATGATCGATACCATTATCAATATGATTGTTGAACGAGTAGACATATAATAAGGACACATGTTGCACATAGATTTCATAATGTACCTTGGTGGATAGAGAGGGCTTTCATAAAACGAAAAATGCTTGAGAACGCAAATATGTGCGTCTACAGTTATCAGAAGCAAACGGAAAAGTTTGTATTTAAATAAGATCGATATATTATTTCATGAATCTAACATATTTTCTAATAAATATAACTATATTATAATATATATAAATAGAAATTGTTTCGATGGAGCAACATGCCCTTCGTTGTTTTCTAGTTGCGTTACAAGTAAATTTTGTGAAACTGCCGAACAACAGACGGTTGGTAAAAAAGCTCTACATTAATAGCAGAAGACATGCTATCCCGTAATCGTCAGTCGTCTTGTCACACCTATACACTAGTATAGCATATAAATAAATCTATCGTATCTATCGAAGATAACATTACGCACTGCGCGTCTAGTTATTTGTTTGGTATCATGGTAATAAGTAGATTGAAACGATTTTCGTTCCTTGTTGTCCTTTTTCCAAACGCTTAACTCGGTGTTCAAGCGCTATCGATTATTATACTTGTTACGCTAACTAGACTGCTAATTTGAAAAGCCCTTCTTTTGCCCTACAACAAACAAACAAACAAAGCTGTCGTCGTCGTCGTTGTTTTATTCAAATACTAACGTTTTGTCTTAAACCTGAAATTCAGAAATCTGATAGCGAAAAAGGATAGCATCCTCGATATTACCTATCAATATTTCACCGGGTCAAAGGGCTGCTGAAGGCAGCTAAATGTGGCCACAAAAACTGGGTCTTTTCAACTAAGGTTACTACGTAAATGTGACTTGTGAAGTGCAAAAATGGCGTCTTCGGCCGTTTTGGAAGAAACCGTTATTGAATAAACTTGCATCCCTTCGTACGCGGAATGAATATCCTGGTAGCTTCTACAACCTATTGCTATTGAAAATAATCTGACATAGTGTCGAAAGTGCTATCGGTTGCCCCTCGAGATGGAGAAGATTGAAAAAGAAGTACTAAATAAAGTACCTTTCAATAGACACAATAAATATGTGTTCTGTAATCGAATGACGGCAGAACATCACCATGATGGAGCACCAAGTTTCCTTTCGAAGAAAACCCTATCGCATAATAATATAGTAGTTTTATTTGTTCTTGGTTGCTGATGCGTTTTTTTTGACGTAGAAACTTAGGGGTAACGTTATAATGATTATAGTTATATATAGACACTCACCCGCTTAGTTGAATCTGAATGGTCACCGTTAAAGTGGCTTCACCATGTGAATTAAATGATCGAGTTGAACCAGTTGCTACGAATACGGGTAGGACCAAATAGCACGTAATGTTCTAACAGCAGGACAAAACATTGTCGGCAGAATAATTTGGTTAGCTGGTTGCCACGACCGCCCTAATGTAGCTATGGGATGCAAAGGTAAGTGGGCACAAAGGCGCGAACGGTAAACTCATATTGGAGAGAGTGTTTATTTACATTCATCGTGTTTATATCCATAGAATAGTAATATTAAGGAACTCGCTAAAGGAAAACAAACAAAATTACAAGACGCACAGCATAACCACAGCAGTATCATTTGGAAACAGAAATTGTCGAAAGCGGACAAATGGCTTTCCGTCGCTCGCACGTCGTTGGTCTGGTTCTATTTGCTCTTGTCCTTCTTAGTCAAAGAGCTTCAGTAAGCCAAAGCACGGACTTCAGTGAAGGGCTGCATCCGAACAAAAGCGACCCAGGCCAACCAAAAGGACAATGCATAAGTAAGATACGGGTCGCAGAAGCAATAAGTTCACGTCGAGAACAAACACCAACAAGTATAAAACATCCAATAAGAATATTACATTGATTCATTAGCAGGAATCAAAGATGGTGGCTTGAAATATATACATTGATGTGGTGCGCAGTAATTCACCTTCCGAGTTCAGAGAGGCCGGTTAAATCGCTAATTAGTAAGGGACCTTAATACAATTTCGTTATGAACGCTGAACGGAGATATCTGTGCCGTCAGATTAAGTATATGTCACTAATACAGTGGTTCAGCATGTGGAGGCCTCTCCTTGAAAATACCCTCCTTAAGCTTCGATGACTCTCGCGCAATCAGCTACTCTCTATCAACTACTCGTTAAATGTAGGTGTAGCAATAAACTTATTTATTCTTTGAATTTTTATCAAGAAAATATGTTTTCATATCGTTTTATTTAGGTCTAGATGAATCGATGACAGCCTGAGTGCAGATATATAAAAAGACAACCAGAAAAATAGTATTCAGTTGAAATGTTAGAAAAGACGGCATAACGGCTAACTGGCCTACAGAGATGCAAAAACACTACTATCCTGCATTTTTCGCGTTTAAAAGCTTCGAATCTCTATCGTTCTTGTGTTTGGCAAGATGTTGCCTTCAGTCTATCCTTGTTTAGCGTACTCCACCAGGAGCTAGATGCGTCCGCATAGCTGTCCTTTGAGTACGTCTATGTTACGATAATAATGACTTCTACAAATATCTAAAATAGGCATCTACAGTGAAAATCATCGATAAAATACAGTTAAAGGACTTGAATATAAGTGAACGATCTATTTGGTACCTTCTATGCTTGGTACAGTCGTTGCACATTGTTTAGGACAACGATGAGGACCAGTTCTTACGAATGAAATTCTCGTAGTTTGTTCTTCTTGAAAGCTTTGCTAACACGCTGAAGCAGGCTTTCTTTTTTGATTTGATTAAATATTTTTAGGTAGATTTGGGGGTGCTATTTCAATTATGTCAGTTTAATTATTATTTCTTGTTTTTCTACAGCTAATATAATAGTTAACCTCTTAAGACGAAGCACAGGCTGGTGTCCTTCCGTGCTGAATGTTATAAGGGCAACGCTGTTAGCAATGCTTGCGCTACCGAATCCAAAGGCACTGACCAGCGGAAAGTTTGCCCCCCAGTAAGCCTCGTATTCGCGTTCTCGAGTACTATGTGTTAGTAGGCAGCCCAGCCTCCATTGTAATTCGTAGATGGCGATTGTTTTACTCCGATGCCGGCTGCTGTGCAGTGTCTCTGCACCGTTAAATAACCCGCTTCCATTTACACTTTTAGCGGTCGAGGCCTGACGCAGTGTATGGGCGCCTTAATCTCTTTTGGCCGCTATAAATCTTTCTTGACTGTTATACGCCATTCAGTATTGTTTGCTTTCATCAAAAGAATACATTTAAATAGAAAAATATAACGTTATAGGCCCTCTTTCAACTCACTCTAGCTATTAATGAACGCCGCTCACTGGGAAACTTCGATCCACATTTCAACTCGATCAGGCCAAATTTTCGTTCTATATTATGCTTTGATTTACCGCAAGAGTTATATTGAGGGATAGCAAGTGCGTGCTTAAAATAGAATTAAAGTTGTATGAAATATGTCAAGTGTAAAAATCCAAATTATACATAAAGCCTAACTTAGAAAATGAGCTTTAATGACAAGTTTGAGTGAACGTATTAGCATGATCCCCCGCAAACATCTAATAAGACTGGATGAGGACCGGCAAAATTCTTTTTTTATCTTCGGCACATAGTTGTGCATTTCGGACGGCTACGCAGCTGAAACTTTTTAAGCCTTTTAGAACAGGTGCTTCGTGCGTACTCTCTACCTATTCTAGGATTGTATAAACTATAGGAACAGCGATGAGGGTCTATGATTACAAATAATGAACACGAACATTTTCTTCGTTGTACTTTGGCTGTAGTTTATTTACACGATTGGGTCACCGCTCGTCCATATTTTGCATTACCTCTTAGCAATGGGAACTCGAGGCCGAAGTAGTCTTGTTTCTTCATTTGGTTAGGGACACCGAAGTCTAAGAAGTACGAAATATGCACGCTATGCCATATGATGTAATACGTTTAACATCTATGGTAAATACGAAGAAAAGGATGTGTCCTAGAACAGAGCACTGACAGACATTCTGAAGGCAAACGGCACGACTGTTAAGCAAAGTACTAACCTTTCTAATAAAGGAAATTTTTGAAAAAATTTTATCTTGTCAAGTCTCGCAAAGGTTGTTTCGTCATTAATTTTCCTAGAATTACAGTACGTACACCGTCGAACAAGCCAATGTCGGCTTTCACAACCATTGATCTCACCCTAACAAAATCACTACGTATCTCTCTTTTCATATTTCGAATAAATCAGTAGAACTCGGTTAATGCAAGTACCGTTTAAAAAAACCGTCTTTTGGCCGTATCATCGAAAACGGCTTTCATCAATATCTCCTGCCTTCTATTTTTGAACGACTGGTCTGTTACAAGCAACAAACACATAAGTTTGCTATGACTAAAACTGTTGACTAAAATTGTCGTCGGCTCTTACGACCTGCAAAATCCTTCAGCGTCTATGTTCAAGGAGTCCGGAGGCCGAACGCGGTAAAAGTTCCAACATGTGCGTCGCAAATACTCCCAACAATGGCGATTCACTGGACAGCTGTTCCGAGCCCGCCAACCGCGATAGATTTTCACTTTTGTTATCGAAAAAACAAGCTGTCTTTAGCGTGATGAAACTGCTCAAGAATGCGGTAGGAATTTTGTAAATACTGTTTGTTATGAATGATGTTATTTGCGGCTGCTAATTACCCTTTGCTAAAGTCCTGCTAATAGCGATCTAGAAACACGTTCGTGCCAGGTCTGCGTAGTCATGGACGCCGTTGTACCATTTGATGTTTACATCTGTTATTAGGTAACGTCTAAGCATGTTTCACTCGTCAAACGGATATCGCAATCGAGATTGAGATTCGGAGTAGACTTAAGCCAACCAGTTGCTCAGCTTTCATAAACAATGGAATCAAAATCTGTGCGAACAAGACCCACAAGAAGCGTTCTCGTATGGGTAGATCAAATAATAATCAATAGTTGCCGTACGCAAGCTAATCCCACAAACATCCATATAAAAGCCAGCGAAAACACTGCGAAATTCAGCAAACGCTTGGTTCTCTTTTAACAAACAACCATGAAGTTCGTCATTTTGGCCTCTGCCTTCGCCTACACCCTGGCTGTAAAGCCTGTTGGTGAGTATATTTTACGAAATTTTCCACCGTCAAAACTGGACATATGGTTATAATTCGATTCCGGCTACGCCTCGCATACTTACAATATAACTTTGTACGTATAATTCCTACAGATGTCCCTTGCATTTGCACGAGAGAATACATACCCGTCTGCTATAAAGGGCAAAACTACGGCAACCCATGTGAAGCCAGATGTGCCGGGGCACGTGACTCAGAGCTGGTCCATGGACAATGTAAGAACTTTTCTAGCTGTGTATGCCCGAGAATATTGGACCCTGTCTGCCTCGATGGTGTTACCTATAGTAATCGTTGCATAGCCGAATGCGCAATGGCTACTGTTGGGCGGTTTGCCGTGGGTGCCTGCGACGCATTATACTTTGACAACAGACACTGAACTCTGCAGTTGATCACCCTTCGTAGTTCCTCAACGACATCTTCTAGGGATAAAAGTAACTAACTCATAAAAGTCAAGGGCATTAAAAGTAAATTAACGCTACAAAAAAATACCACAAAAATATTAACAGATGAATCATGTAAGGTTTACATTTGTTCAAGATAACTGTTTGAAATAAACATTCTTATCCACAATTCATCCCACTCCATGTCCCGATTTGCTTTGAAGACTCATTGAACTTATCATGGGGACAGATGAAATATTCAGGGGAAAATTGTATTAATTGTAGACGCGTGTAGTGTAGAACTTCAGTGCCGTTCAGAGTAGCACTTCGCATACGAACATTTACTCAATGAAGACGAAGACACATAGTCGATTTACTAATCATTTAATAGATGAACACTGAAATAAGGTTAATATAGCGCCTGTTTGCTAAAAAGGAGTTCAGGATAACTATACGAACAGCGTCCATTCAGCGCGTACAGCTAGCCATCCTTGTCATTTTTTAGCTAACGGTGACGGTAGATAGCTATTGTATGTAGAGCCGTATGTGGAAAAAAAATGCGCGCTTGTCTATAAATAATGCGACATCGTGAAAAAAGTTCGGCAGATTTAATGAGCATTTTATTAAAGCAACAACAAAGCTAAAGCAGCGAAGATGAACTTTAACTCTCAAAGTAAAGTTTTTTTCTGCCTGCAGAAGCCATACACAGTTAAGCATAAGAAGGTCATAAATTTATTTAATACAATAAACGTCATCACTGTTACATAGCTTAGTAGAACTTTAAAAGGGGTTCATAGAGTAGACTTTACGTGAAATATTCTGCAAAAATGTTCGCTGGTTTTAAGATGCGAAATGTAACAGTACGATGTAACAGCCAATAGAAATGTTTAATGGTATGTTAAAACAAGATATTTTGAAAAACTTCTCTGTTCGTAATATAAGCTATCTTGCCAATCCTAAGTTGCGTCGGTCAGTTATTTTCGTATAACGAGGCCGAAAGCCAACTCTATGAAGGTATTCTTCATTACTTCATAAAAGAAAAAAAACGTTGCACACCTTGATACTGCACGCAAGTATAACCTCGAAATTCGGAGCTGATGTGCCGAAGTAAAAGAAAGCGGAAAATATCAAATGGTGATTTTTCTATCTTTCGGCCCATAGTTCAGCGTTCAAACCTAAAAACTGTACAAAAAAAAAAAAGCTACACTTTTCTGTGAAATCTACATTTTCATTTTTAGGACCTTTTTAATACCATTTTTAATACCTAATAGAAACCTGACGCCACCTTAAGCTTACGTTTCTTTTCAGCTATGATAATTTGTAGATATTTAGGTACGGATGTAGAATCGGGACCAAAATTTTGCTTCTTGAAGAATGGTAGGTCCTGCTATAGAAGCAAGCTAAGGTAAGTTACTCTACTTTCTCTTAATTGATGAGATCAATCGCCATCTTGAGGCAGAGTATGGTACTAACAGGATTCGTGATCAAAGGTTAAAAACAACCAAGTTGTCTGTCCTCATTGTAACGATGGCTTTTACTGCCAGCGATGCCCACTTCGATCGAGGTATGGGCAACTTCTTATCAGGTGGACATTTAGCGCCTATGGCGTCTAATTGATTGGGTATATAATGTTTCTTATAGCTTCTCGAAGTTCGCTTTAGGCAAACACGACTTATATATGTACATCGGCATGCTCAATACGTTCAATTAAGTTTGCCGTTAACTGCAGGCATCCTGACTTTTAGCTTAAGGCCGACTGGATACAGCCCTAAGACTTCAAATATTCGCTTGCCTGAATCTTCGGCGAAATGTTAGCGGACAGGTATGGCTATAAACGCCAGTATCCCGCGCCTGACAACAGGTTTCTGCCAGCAAATGTGTCCCTGAAAAGCTGTGTATCTGCATCCGGCACTCGATACTATTTGACAAACCACTCTATTCATAACCAATAAGCCTAGCCGTAGAACACTAGGAGTACTCAATACAATGAGTTCTCATAATGAATTAGCTTTCTACAGTATCCTTTAAACTGACGGGATGTATTCTAGTTTCCTCACGGCCTTTCGACACGTGAGCTGTTAGTTACGAAAGAACTATGACAGATTTCGAATTTATCGAGCCTGATTTTTCATCTTTCAAATAGGATTTCTAAAAAGCTCGGATTCCCGTGTTTGCCTTAAGCGCCAATAGAGCTAGAAGGACGAGCCATAAAGTTATCAAGTTTCAGCGTATCTTCTCCTTAACAAAATTAAATAGCTCGCCTTCAATTCAAGAATTTGTCACTTTTTTGGCGCGCATACGTTGTGATATCATACTATACCCTATACTTAGACGACGTTTGATACTCACGCAAAAACGTTTATACTGTCTAGTAGATAAATTTGTCGGTACGCCGAACGCAAGCGAATGAACCCGATTGTTGTTGTTGTTGTTGTTGTTATTATTAAAATCAAATGATAAACTGGGCAATTTGTGTCTTATCAGGAAAGAAAAACAGGGCAAATCTAAAAGTTGACCAATTTACGAAATCATCAGCTGCTGCTTCCCACTGGGAATGGCCAATGAGGTAATACAAGCGCATTAGGTATATAGTGATAAGCCGCTCGTGACACACAGCAGCAGCAGAAAATATCTGACGTCCTGACCTAACCTCAAATCAGGATATTCGGGCACTTAAGCATGCAAAATCTGTAGTTTTCATATGTTTAAACCATATTAATTAGTTAAAAATAGCTGCGTGTCTCCCGGTGAACGTCAACATCGAGTCGACTATCCTCGGATTATGACAGAGTGCGTCTGTGAATAGAAAGCATTACCTGGACGTAATTAAAAAGCCGTTCGTTACCTAATAAGCGCTCGCACTATGAGAAAATGCAATACTATCTCGTAAATGCCGCGATTTCTACTTTTTTTTTAACGGCTCTTAAACGACCGCTATAACTTCGTTCCAGCGATTCTGACACGTTATCACCATGAAATTTCGAAGCGTTGAGAACACAAGAGTGATGAAACTTGAGGACAACGCCTCAATGGTCCTACCGACGATCTAGTTGTCGCAGCGATATATCTCTAGAGGCCACCAAACAGAAGTTCGATAGAGCGGCATACAAGCTACATAGCACCAGGAAGCTCCGTCTAAATGTCGTTTATCATGACTAGTAGAGAAGTTATTTTCGAACGTAAACATACCCTAGCAGCCTTACATTACACAGAATTTGTGTGTTATAAAGAAAGTATTCTATAATAGAGCACTCACTTTATCGCGACAAACAGTTGAGTCTAAACAGATCCGCTATTGTCTTTTGAATTCTATTCATGTGAGCGGCTTTTTCAGCCGCTTGCCACACATGTTTAAATGATTATGCCGCCATAGTGCCGCCGCGGAATGATTGCCTCCAAAAAGGTCCATTCTCAAGAGTTCAGGCTGTTCAATGTGCACCCGTAAGTGTTTTCAATTCTGCCAAGTAATTTTGCCACCGTTTACAGACGCAGATTTTTACTACGGTCAGTGATCACAGATTTTAATACGATCAGCAGCTGATTGTCGTGCTCTTTCTGCAGAACCGAAAGTTCATGTCTCGTCAGAGTTAAACTGTCGATAGATTCGTTACTTGTGAGGCTGCTCAAAGACACATTTTACTCTCAGCCAGTTTTCGATGTTATTAACTTACTATTAAAGTTTTACGCAAGTTGACAATAATGACATGTTATTGTTAATGAGGTAACACTATTATACATGGAGAGGCTTTTTTGCCACCTATTCTGAGTTTACGTTGAAGACTAAGAGGCTGTAAATAATTCAAATGTGCGAGACACATAATTCGCCGTCGTTTCGTGGGTGTAAAGCGGTTACTTATTTATTCGAGATTTTCTTCTACGGTGCACCCACTGTATAATTCGCTGGAGGTTTCCAATAATTACACTTATGGAAATTACATGTTTATTATTACCACTATTATATCAGTCTGGGTGATGGACGGAAAGTACGATCGGGTTGGCTTTATAGGCAAACATCCAACTTCCGCAATCCACTGTCAATTGCTTCAAGAAAGCATTAAGTATCAACTGCCGACCGCTCTCAGAGCTTCTCCTTACAAACACGATAGGATATTCGGTCTAACATGTATTCGCGTCAACGATAATTGGACACGTAACAGTTTTTCCGCCAGAATTGCCCGATCGAGTCCATTAGAGCCTGGGTCACGCCCAGATGCGTATATTGCCTAATTAATATCCTAGTACCTGTGTGGCTGGTTATGAAACATAGAAAGAAAAAAAAATATACTTGAACATTTCAAATACGCTGAAAGGTCCATATGTTTTAAGTTAAATATCGAAAAACTCACTCAGAGCTTGATAAAAGGTTAGAGGCTATGGCGTACCCTGCAAGGGGTCGCTTTGGTCACCGGACATTTGTCTGCACGATACGGTGATGATTCTGTTATGACACGTATAACTGGCAGGAAATGTTCGTTGAGCTTTAGAGTTCGATTAAGCTTGAGTATTAGCTTGATTCCTTCAGAACGCATATACAGCACGTAGACAGAGGCAGCCTTATAATATAGCTTCCCCTCTGTAATGAACTCATTGCTAGTAAAGACTCTATTGCAGCGAAGTTACGAATGAGCAACATGCAAATCGATGAGTAAAAACAGCACAAGGCCGACTGTAGAATAAATGTCACAATATAATTAATGGTTAACTAGGCTAAGGTCAGCACAGCGTGGCACATAGATCGTAAACTGTGGAAAACACTCAATTACGGCATATGGATCTTCAGAAGAATTGATATCCAGAGCACTTAGCTTTTAGGAAGGGACCTTAAGGGATACGTATTAGGACAAGAAGCCTTTCCGCTGTAACGACCAATAAGATGAGATTTTCTAAAAACCTAAGAAGGAAAAATATCGACTACCATTTTAGTATTTGATCATTTTCTTATAAACATAGATCAGTGCGTTTTCGCACTGGTCGAAGTGATTTATTTACCTCCGCAGTCAGAAGCATTATTTTTAAACTCATTTTTAGGCGTTTAGGACCCTATTTGAATATCTCTTGTGCATACAATCTGTTACATACAGTATATATCCAACAATAGATTAACGTATGCTGGATACTTTGATTGGATTAATTTTTTCATCCTTAAAATACTGAAGAAGGAAGAAAACTCGATTGCTTGTGCTTGTGTTTGTGTGTACAACCATCTACCGTGTA